CCTTTGTCCACTTGACATTCCTGAGTATTTCAGGCAACTCAACAGAGGGGAAGAAAGGGTGAAACAAAAGCATTTTGCCTCCTATTTTGCTGTACTGAACCTAGGGCACTTCAAAGCCTCTAAGGGGATCTTCACACCAAGGGAGCATCTCGAAGATTATCTGCTCTCTGTAGAATCTATCAGAACAAATAAGGTCTATGATCCCAGGCCACAAAGGCCAAGAAAGAAGCAGTTCATGGAAAGTGACATCAGTTGTACAATAAACACATGTAGGTACTACAAAATTACTTAGAAGTAGAAAATTGGGGGGGGGCGTTTACTGGACAGGTGTGTGGTGGAGCACATGGTGAATTCTTGGAGGCCAGAGAAGAAGTCTTCTAGGGATCGGAGCATCTAAGAACTTAAAAAGTAGAGAGGGGAATTTAGGCATGGAGGGAAATAATGCCCATGTGCTACTCACCTGTGGTACATGCGGAAGAAGGAAAAGGGGGAAAAGGGGAACCCCTGGGAGGAAGATGACATTGCTTCTTCATTTTAACTCAGTCTGTGATGACCCCTTAGGTGTCTGTGTTTTCCTGATTATATTCAGCTTCAGTCTTGACTCTTTCCCATGTAGACTGTCAGCCAAACACTTGGCAGCCCAGATGAAATGTACATTTAGTGTAATCAAGACCAGTGACTTCAGCCATTTGGTCAAGCTGAGAGTCACATTCAACAAGATCCTTAAAACTTGTTCATGTGATTTGGTTTTCCAATGATGTAAAGTTTAAAGGAAAAATGTTGGAGATTAAAATAGGCACAGAGGAAACTCACTATATCTTCATATTTCTGAGGACATTTTAGAGGAAATTGGGTTCCACAGAAATCAGGAACACAGGGCCCTCAGCATAATACGGGGCTGCTATGAGACCCTAGGAAATCAATCCATGTTGATCCCCTTCATAAAGATGGAAAGGTGCAATATGCAACCCAAAGATTAGAGTAAGGACTACATCATTCAGAGGAAGAACCCTTTTTCCTTCTGTCTCTTGCTAGAAAAGGATATTTAGTCTTTTCTAGTTGTTTTCCCAACATCACTATTTCCATGTCATCTGAGATGAAATTATCATGGGAAAGCTTCCTACAGGAGGTCTGGCAGGGTAAATAAGTCTTTCAGAGCATAAACAGAAAGCGTGTAGGGTGACTGAGACCTGTGACCTTTGTAGTGACAGAGCTCCTGAAGCATCCATGAAGATGTTCATTCACCCCCTTTGTCTTTCTGCTGCCTTCCTTCCACACCCTCTGCTTCTGTTCCTCTGAGGGAGGCTGATCTGGTCTCCCCAGTCCTTCCAGGGCAGGAAGAGTCTCCAGCTAAATATTCATCAACATCCATAAACATCAGAAGATCTTGTGGACTGAAGAGCTGCAGCCTCTGATGCACTCCCTTCTTTGCTTTTATTCTTCCTCTCTAGAATGTGCTGAGTCAAGCAGCTTCTTGTAATGCTCACCCCAGGCCTTCTATATCATCATGGAAAGACGGGAAGTGCTTTTCTTGGAGGGGTCACATGACTCCCCGGTTACCAATGACTCAGCTTTCCTGTCCACCCTCCATGCTAACTTTTCCATTCTGTCACTGACTCAGCAATTTACTTAATATCTGATGCATCACAATGATGTAATGCATCGTACATTCTGTTGCACACCGTAGAAGTGTCCTTAAGTAGAACACATGCAGTGGGGCAGACATATACAATGAAATAAGCATAAGCCATGGAGGCAAGAACGACACTGTTGGTGTATGGCAGCAGTTCTCAACCTGAGAGTCATGACCTCTTTGGGGGGTTGAATGACCTTTTCACAGGGGTTGCCTAAGACCATTAGAAAACATAGATATTTACATTACAATTCATAGCCGTAGCAAAACTGCAGTTATGAGGCGGCAGCAAAAATAACTGTGTGGTTTAGGGTCAGCACAGCATAAGGAGCTGAATTAAGGGGTCGCAGCATTAGGAAGGCTGAGAAGTACTGATGTATGGAAAGGAGAGTGAGGGTCTCTGAGCTACGTTCTGCAGCCCCTATCAGATGACAGACTCTGATCAGAACTGTGAGAACAGCGTTTGAACGGGAAGAAGTCCCAGTGATGTAGCTGTTGATCTGTCCCTGGGAAGTCAGTCTGATGGCGGGACTGAGAGGGGCTTGTAGAACCCAGGTCATCCACGTCAGTAGGGAGGTGAGGGTGAAGTCTGGTGGGGTGAGTGTCACAGAGGAGGGTGCCTCGAGCTAACGAAGCTGAGCTTGTTAAACACACTCATTTTGGAACTGGATGTTTCTGAATGTGAATCCTATACCTATAGATAACAGTTGGTGTCTGAGGATGGACGAACTCTTAAGTGAGGGGAGGACAATAGGTGAAGACCTCTCAGGAGAAGAGGTAAGAAACCCATGACATCTGAGGTGACATGACTTGAAAATTTAAATACCTCAAAGGGCCTCGTGCAGGTAGCATAGTGATTTCAATGTCCACTGACAGAGTTGTGGAGTGATGCACTGAGGTGCGGAGTGGGTGGGGAGATTAGCTGAGCAGTGACGAATCCTTTTGGGATGTGGTTTTATTGAGGTTTATAGTGACAAAGTTCAGCAGTCATTCACTAAAGGTTTGGAAATTGCAATTTGGTAAGTGGTACAGTATTTCCCAGTATATTTTATTATAGCTCTCGAGATGCACTGCTCTGTGGAAATCACATTTAAGAATGGTGCAAACCTTTTAAATCCCAAATATCATTTACAAGGATGATGAAGACCAATCATTCAAAAATAAATTTTGAAGAAAATTATGTGTCTGGTTGTTCTGTCACAGGAAGAGTTAAAGGTCTAAGCTTTCCCCTTTAGGTGATGATAGGTAATTGTCATGGGAAGAAAGGAGCAGAGGTGTCCAAGGGGCTGCGGGGAGACAAATAAGGGCTGTGAAGAGAGAAAGAAGGGAAATGGGGAGGGCTGAGGAGAGAGGAAGAGAGATGGGGAGGGCTTGAGGTCCGAGTGCTAGTGCACAGACTTTGTCTCATTGGTGTTCATAGATGATTTGTGTGGCAGCAGTAAAATGCTTGTCTTTTACTGACCTCACCAAAACCACTGTCTCAAGGCCTCAGTACTTTATCCAAACTGATGTCTTCTCTGGGTTTATTAAACAAACATCAGTGTTCACTCATTTGCAGACAATGGGCAGCTGCTTCCTGTAGTGTGGGCCATGTGTTTCACTGCTTGTAAAAATCATGAAAGTCATTTTTGGACCCATGTTCTACTTCTCTGACTCCGTGCTCAACCCGGATGGCCCAGAAGACAATAAAAACATGAAATGAGTACATGGATCCAGGAGTTAGAGCTCTATTATCGTCTCCCTGTCTAGGTCTGCAGATCTGTTCTCCACTAGGCCCTTGTCTTGGTCTTTTGTTACTCTCAGCTTCCCAGGTCTGGGTGTCCCACTCACACGTCTTACGGGTGACCTGTCTTCTCTTCACTCAGGTAAGAGCTAGCCAGAGTAGAGGTGCCTTGGTGCTTTTGAAGTGGGGGTACTTCTGAACCTCTGGATCTGGTTGTATAGCCTCTGTCGGATGGCAAGCTCTGACCCTCTAGCTCTGTCCAGCCTGTGGCACACTGTGGAGAGACTGCACACAGCTGGGGGACCTTTCCACGGTGTCATTGACATCTAGTGTGTGACGCCTCTCAGCCTGCCACAGGTGAGTTTAGCACTTCCTCATCCTGGGCTGCCTTTCCAGTCTACAGCCTGCCAAGTGACCTGCCTCCCATGATTTTATTACAAACGTTAAGGACCCAGCTGTAACTCCTACTTCAATAGATACTTTGATTTTTAGACTTGGTCAGTAGATGTCTAATATTAAACATATTTCAGGTTTTTTTTGATAATCAAGGTTTGAGCAAACTCTTTTCTAAATACATTGAATGCACAAAATTAACCTTAGTCTTCCCTTTGCCTTATCTACACAGTCTCAAAAACTGGTTTTCATCTTATTTACAATGTAATTAGAGTTGGAGCTCTGTGGCATTTCTCTGGCTCTGGGAGTGAGGTGCTCTCTTGTTCACTTACATAAACATTATTTCGATCCCAGAAACATCCAGATTTCACAGTTTGGGTCATAAGTCTGCATTGAGGTTGTAACTCCAAAGTATTGGAGTTGGGATAGTGTAGTGTTTCAAGTCATAAATATTTGCCTTTTAAAGTGTTCCATTTATTCCAATGGCAAAATTTCTCCTTATCTTTTCCCTAAAATTCCCTTTTTTGCACACTCCAGTCACCTCAAAGACTAAATTCCAAACATCTGGATGCATCACCTCCTCTTGGCCTTATTAAACAATTGTCTAAAATTTTCTCCTTTTCCTTGGATCTTCATACAATAATTGTGTTAGCCACACCCCTCCATCATTTTCCTTACTCCATCTTATTTGTTTGCTTATGTATGTCTGTATGCCTGGTCATATTTACTTATTCATTCATTCATTCAGTTTCTTCTGCTGGGAGCAGAACTGGGCCTCACACATGCAGACGCGCGGGAGAAACATTCTTCCTGAGCTTTGTCACCGGCCCCTAAAGCTTTCTTTGTATTTGGTTCATGCTCTACCTAATGTCTATGTCTTTGCCTCATGATTCGAACCCCTTTGTAATGAGGACCTTCAAAATAGTTCATCAAAGCAAGTATCATATCACAGGTTAGACATTTCCAGGTTAGATCAGGATCCTGTCATGTTTCAGAAGAAAAACCAGGCTTTCAGAGATTTCAGGGCACCAGGCAACATCCCACAGCCTTTCCTCCCTCTCATCCATGGTAAGACTCTCTGCAGCCCTTCCAGAAGCAAACAGGAGTGGCTGCTGCTGTTTCTTCCAGTGTACAACTCATGATTTGCCCCAGAGATGATTGGGATGGTCAAGGAGCTAAGGATTCTGGGAGACGCCCACGGCGGGTGTTACAGAGTGAGACAAAATGGAATGACTCGTGAAATCCAAGCAGTTACAGCATGAACAGCTTTATTTTTGAATTGGCTCTTCAGGTGAGCTTAGCGCGATGGTCAGCGGACAGGAAGAGAAATTCCCAGGAGAATCAGAATCCAGGACAGGAGGAGCCAGCAGGACAAGACAAGCTGTGCTTTCCATGGCCCTTGGGATTTTTGTTTCCCCCAAACTCTGTCGTCTCAGCCTCAGGATCCAGGTCAGCAACAGCCCCCAGAGCTGTGCCCACAGCCTGAGTCTCCCGACTGCTGGCCACTGCCACGGTCACAGGATCTGGAGGAGCTCCTGTGCCTGCATCTGTGGGACCTGCGCCTGTGGTGGCTCAGGAAGCAGCCTCCCTCAGAGCTGGGGACACTGCAACCCCCAGAGCTTGTAGCACAGCAGGAGGAGGCTGCAGGCAGACACTGTGCTGTGCTCTTTGGAGGGCACTTGGGGGAGGGGCACTTGGGAGGAGGCTGGCATTGCTTCTGGTTCTGCTGGCAGGACATCTTGGCAGGAGTCAGTCAGCCTGGGTAAGCAAAGAAAGTGTCTTTAGGCCCTTGCCTCCCTTGGGAATGCTTTCATAAAGACCTGTTCCTAAGATCCTCTGTTTCCTGACCTATGATCTATACTGGTCTCCATGACCTGCAAGACAATATCTTCCTTTCTGCCCTGCTTTCAGGAGGGAATGCTGATACTTCTAACTCTCTGGTCAGCTGAAGCAAATATGGATGATGGGAAAATGACTCTGAGAGTTCTCTGGGCAGATGCAGACCTCTCAGAAGAGCAGAGGGAATGCTGAGAACCAGGACTCTGGTGTGTCGCAGGTGCTGATGTGCTCACAGAGGCTCCTGTCTGCATTCTCCTCCTTGTCCCTTGTCCCCTGGCAGGTCCTCTCCCTGCTGCCCTCTCATTAGACACCTCCTCCTCCCCAGTCAAGTCCAGCTTGTCTTCTCTGCACACCAAGGTGAGGCCCTGTCCCTAGTCAGGTACTCACCAGATACAGCAAAGGCAGGAGATGAAGGCTGTGCTGAAGAGGTTGTGGGTGAATGGTCCAGGGCAGCAGCCCTTTTATCCTTGGCAGGTTTGTGATACACAGCCCAAGCATGCTACTGTTTTCACAATCAGGGGAGGTGACAGAGCGAGGACCATCCACTCATCATCTTCCTGTGTTCTTACTACAATTACCATCAGTAGGGAACCAGGAAGTTTTGATATCTGTCTATTTGACTTCTTACTCAGGCCTCTTGGTGATGGGGAATGGGAGGCTACTCTGCTATCTTAACTTACTTATTCAGTTCATATCTTTAATAGTGGCTCTGTGCTGTGGTCTTTGCTGGAAAGAAGCCATGATATGGTTTAGTACAGTTCTTTCTTTCTTAGGTAGATCAGGATCTATCGGGAAGGGAATGAAAACCTTAATAAACACACTTATTAATACAGAGTCTAATATTATATGTCAAATGCTGTCATCTACCAATGTTTTATGCTGTCAGGCTCTAGTGCATGGTCTTTGGTGTTACCCTTATTTCACCCCTTGTAAACCAGAGTGTCCTGCCATATCTGGATAGAGCCAGTGACTACTTCTTGAACTCTGGTGATGAGGAGAGTAGGTGAAAAATGTCCAAGATGATGGCACCCAGAAATCTAATCATAGAGTTTCTGGAGAGGAGGGAGGTTGAGCTGAATTGACATTTGTTTGGTGAGGATAGCTTTAGAATTTATACTATTTAAGACTGATTACTTAAATAGGCTGGAGGCTTTCCTTATTAGAGTTTGCCAATTGTTACCTACAGTTTCAAAGAAAATATAGTTACTAAGAACACCACCAATGGGGCTGGAGAAGTGGCTCATCAGCCAAGAGCACTTGTTGCCCTTGCAGAGGACCTAGCTTGGTTCCCAGCACCCACATGGATGTTTACAACTGTCTGTAACTCTAGATTCTTGAGGTTCAATGCCCTCTTTCACCTCCACGGTCATGAAACACACATGTGGCACACAGGCATGCATGCAGACACTCAAACACAGAATAAGATAATCTGCAAAAATAACATGACCAAAATTTAGATTACATTTTAGTTTATGTAACATACTTAGAGTTTTGGACAGAGATAAGTGTTCCTGGATAATTTATGACTGGTTATAACCCTTTATAAAACGTACAGTGTTCATGCGAGACTTTCTAGATGAAGTGTTTTCCCCCTGTCTTACTATCCTGTGACTATTAGAGACTAAATGACAGCTGCTTGCTGGTAGAGAAAAAAGAATATTTCTTGAAAGGATTTCTTTCTCTCTGTTTCTCTGTGTGTCCTCTCCTTTGGCACCAATGCCAGTAGCTTTTCCTTCAGAGACATGTGAGGTAATGTGTATTCTTGTTAAAGGAAACAGCAGCTCAGCATGCTAAGGGGAGAGTGAGGGACCCTCGTCCACAGTTTCTCTCTCAATGGCCGTGTCACTAGCGCTGTTTGATATCCACGAACTGTATCATGCCAGGAGAAGGTGCTCCCAAGGAAGGATTATGGATGTCTTCCTGGTCTACCACATGGCAATGCTGCAGATGAATATGGCATGGTGAAATACACGGCTTCTCATTCACCTGCCTTGCTGATGGAGCCAGTCCTGGGGTAACACACTATTAGAAAGGCGTGTTCTAATTAGTAGCTACTTTCAGGGAATTCTGGGCTATATACAAGGCCTGGCTGGTTCCTGGTCTAAGATCCTGGTGTGAGAGAACCACCAACTCACTGTCTTCCATAGGCTTAGTTAACATTAGACTTGAACTTCTGTTGTAAAATGAATATTTGCTCTCCCTCAAGTTCATGTGGACACTGTAACTCCTAATTTTATCATGTTAAAAGTGTGAGCCCTAGGAAAGCAATTGAATTATAAGAACGTTGTGAGGAAAAAATGGCCGTTTTGATGCCACCCATTACAGCAGACTGAACGAACTGAGAAAGCCCCAGTTTTCCACACGACTGTCTTGAGGACCCCCCCTTTTCTTGAAGACTTTAGCTTTCTGGCTGCTGTGTGCACAGTCTTCCTGCTGTAAGTTCCCCTCACTTAAGCCATTCATTTATCTATTCATTTTAAGTTAACACATTTTATGGGTCATGGCCCATGAGTCAGGTAGCTGGGAATAAGGGGGACCTTATATAGGACAAATAGCAAGGGAATTAGGATGTTGGTGTTGAGAGCTGGGGCTCTTGATTTTCTGAATTGTGCTGCAACAAGGCTGGGGCTTCAGATCCTTGTAGTAGTGAGCACTGGTTTTGCCTATTTTGTGATTCTTCAGAAGCAAGGGCAGTCACTATTTTGGACCAGATGGGTAAAATCTTAAGTTAGCTGGGAACAGCACTTGAAAAGTAACCATGGCCACACTTGGTCAATTTCCACATCACAGAATCCAGAAGCTATCAGCAAGGAATCATCTCAAGAAATGCAAACCATCTTCTATTGCATTTCCAGATGTCCTGACTCTACTAGCCTATGGAGTCTTTTATCCTGGAGAAGGAACCATTCCACTGCCCTGAAAATGCAAACAAAGCATGTGAGAGCTGTACAGTAGGGTTCCTGTTGGAAGAGGTTCAGTCTCAGGGAGAATGGACATCTTGTGATCCAGAGAAGGCAGCCACAGCTCAGAGCCTGATATGAATGGCTTGGGAGGTTGGGAGGAGCTCTTGAATTACTAATGGTCATGGGTGTTATGAGATAGGCCTGCAGCCTTTCAGGCTTACCTTCTTGGTGCATTGTGCTCAGATCATATAACTTATAAGTCAGTGGTGACTCTTCCCTTCCAACTGAGCAGAACTAACTGCCAATTCAAGGTTTTCTTGTTACCATAATGAGGGTTACTTGATGACACTTACTTGAGTCACACTCATGCCAAATTGGAGGAGAGAGATGGACAACAAATACCATAACTCTTGTTACATGTCAGAAAATCCACCTTTATAAGGTATGCAGTTTTGGTGGACTTAGGATTTTCAAAAGGTACAATTATCATCACCAATTTCATAACCATTCTAACACTATCAGATAAAAACCATACCCACTATCACCTCCACTCCCATTTGCCTGTTGCTGCACAGGACACTATGTAAATGAAATTATTGAAGAACAAGAGCCCTTTGTTCTGGTCTTTTTCACTCAGCATACTTTTAAAACCCCTTTCAGTCATTTATTAAAAGTTACTCCTAACAGGGGAACTGGAGTGATGGCTCAGTAGCTAAGAGCACTGGCTGCTCTTATAGAGGATCTGGGTTCTACTCCCAGCACCCACATGGTGGCTCACAACAGCCTGTAAGTCTGGTTCTACAGTACATGACCCTGTTTTCTGGCCTCTGTAGGAACCAGGCATGTAAGTGATGAGCAGATATACACGCAGGCCACACACCCATACATATAAAATAAAAATTCAAAAAAGTTTTTAAAAGCTATTTCAAAACAGTTGTTCAATATGGAGATGAAGTTATCTAGGTAATACTTTCATCATCTTGCTTTTCAGAGTTATTCCTGTTGTATAAACATGCCTTCCATGAACCAATAGCAAGCATTTGGGCTAATATCTAATTGTCAGTTCTTATGGATTATAGAGAACACCACCTTTACTATTTCCTTTTAATCTCTCATTAAAGGCTTCATTTACTCTTCTTCCTCCAGTGTCTTAGCAATGGAGTTACGTTATTGTTTCCTTTTCAATGTAGTAGTCATAGCTACATATTTATCTTTGAGAGCTCAGTCAGCTGTAGTCCATAAATTTTGATGTGGTATTTTCCCCATTCTCAAAAATTCTAAGAATGTGTCTTATGATTATCTTCTCCAATTTATTGGCTATTTGTGAGTATAATTTTTGCTTTGTAAGTATTTCTGAACTTTCTAGTTTCCATTCTGTGGTTCCCCCATTGGTACCAGGTATAGAACCTAGACCCTGGGGCATATTAGGCAGATACTCTACATGTAAGCAACATCTCCAGACCAACTTTTACATTTTTATTTTCATTTTGAGACAGCACACTCAATTGTCAGGACTGGTCTTCTATGTGCTGTTTTCATCTCAGCTTCCCAAATAGCTGAGACTCCAGACATACCCCACAGGTAGACATGCCCCACAGGTAGACATGCCCCACAGGTAGACATGCCCCACAGGTAGACATGCACCACAGGCAGACATGTACCACAGGCAGACATGTACTACAGACAGACATCAGAGGCAGACATATACTACAGATAGACATCACAGGCAGACATACTCCCACAGGCAGATATGTATCACAGGCAGACATTACAGGCCTGTCTTCTTTCTGCTTGTGAGCTCTCCTTCATACTTCCTGAGATTTGAGGAGACACCCTGTTATTTTTTAAAAATCTAGTTACACTTCTTTTTTGGATCAAAATTAATTTTTGCTGCAGAATCTTCTATATGCACTTAAAATGTTTGTGATGCCTAACAAAAGATTGGTCTAATTTGCTTAGAGTGTGCTGTTAGAGATTTCATTTCCTTGATCTTTTTCCTCCTCTTCTTCGTTAACAGAGGACTCAAAGTTTTGAAGATACCCTTAAAAAATGTAGCTGTGAGTTGTCCATTTCTCCTTCCAATTTTATTAATCTTAGGTCAATAATTTTTGGGCCTTGTTCTATTATGTTTTATATACATAACTTGTTAATGTTTTCATAATTACAAATGTCTTTGTATCTAGTATTTATTTTGACTGATGCCAACATAATCATTTTAAGTGCCTTGTTTTCTATGTATAGTATGTATTTTTATGCTCTTTACATCCTTTTTGGCTGGGGTATTCGAGACAGGTTTTCTTTGTGTATCCCTGGCTGTTCTGGAACTCACTCTGCAGACCAGGATAGTTTCAAACACATAGAGATCTACCTGCCTCTGCCTCCCAAGTCCTGGGATTAAAATCATGGGCCACTACTGTCCCCCTGCTCTTTCCTTCTTTAAATCCAAGTGCCTTTTAGGACAGCTTACAGTTGGATCCTGTTATTTTGCCTGTTGTTCCTTTTTATTTGAGTAGTTAATGAATCCACACTGAATGCAATTGCTATGACACAGAGTTTACACCAGTAATTTTTGCCTGTGTTATTCATCAGTCCTTTATGACTTCCTTGGTGTTTGGTGG